ACACCGGTAGATGTGTACTCCTACCCCCTCCCTGTCCACCAACCGAACACTATGTCGAGTGTGGAAACCGGTGTCTGGAGTCCTATGCGGGTAAAGAAAACCCTTTGGCGTGCAATAGAAAGGACTGTGAGTTCGGGTGCTTTTGTCGGGAAGGCTTCGTGAGGCTAAGTAATGGCATTTGTGTCCCGATGTGTCCGTTTGGGGAGATGTTTAGTGAATGTGGGAACCGGTGTATGGAAACTATTGCCCACTTTTATCATAAAAATGCCCTCAACTGTAATCCACAGCATTGCGACGTCGGATGCTTTTGTGAGCCGGGATTACATCGAGACAGTGATGGCTTCTGTAGTGTTCCCCCACCGCCCACAACCACTGGCTGTCCAGTGCCCACTACCACTGCCTGTCCAACGCCCACTACCACTACACCTCCTCCTAAACCAACGCCTCCCCCCTGTGCTCCACATGAAGAGTACATAGAGTGCGGGAATCGATGTCTAGAAGCAATGGGTAGTATAGAAAATCCGTCGGTTTGTGCGCCCACTCAACATGACTGTCACGTCGGATGCTTTTGTATCGATGGTTATTACAGAGACAGTGATGGTGTCTGTGCTGTACCGCCTAAACCCAAATGCAAACCTCCCTGTCCTCGCAATGAAGGCCGTAGTGAATGCGGCAACAGATGTATGGAATCGTTTGAGAATAAACTCTTCAAACGTGTTATTTGTGATCCAAACCATTGTGACTCTGGGTGTTTCTGTTTGCCACCACTCTATCGCAATTATGAGGGCCAGTGCGTTCCGTACCCACCTCCCTGTCCAAGTCGTGAAAAATTCAGTGAATGTGGTAATAGATGTATGGAATCGTTGGAAATTAAGAAACACAACCGATTATCATGTGATCCCAATGAGTGTGATGTCGGTTGCTTTTGTTTACCACCATTTTATCGTAACAAAAGAGGTCTGTGCGTCAAATATAGACCCCACTGTCCACCCAGGGAGGGGTATAGTGAATGTGGTAATAGGTGTATGGAGTCGTTTGAAAATAAAATCCATAGGCGAGCTAAATGTGATGTTAACCATTGCGATGCCGGATGTTTCTGTTTGCCCCCACTGTTCCGCAATAAGGAGGGACAATGTGTCGAATACCCGCCTCCCTGTCCACCTAAAGAGGCATTTACTACATGCGGGAGTAGATGTATGGAGTCATTAACCAATCGACTAAATAATGAGAGATGCGATCCAAGTGTCTGTGATATCGGATGCTTCTGCAAACCCGACCTTTTTAGGGATGAGTCGGGCAGTTGTGTTGAACCGCCGCCGCCCACCACAACCCCTCCGCCCACTACTACTCTGGAGTGCCCTCAGGGCGAGGAGATGACTGATTGTGGGAACAGATGTCTTGAATTACTCGAGAACAAAGACAAGTCATCTGAATGTGTCCTTGACGTGTGTGAGCAAGGTTGTTTCTGTATGAATGGCATGTATCGCAACAAGAAGGGTAAATGTGTGGAACCGCCCACAGAGGCCTGTCTAATACCGGAGCGCAAGTGTCGGCCGGAAGAGGAGTGGAGTGGCTGTAAGAGTCGGTGCCGAGAGATGTGTGTCAACCGAAACCAGGCGTACGTCTGTCCGCTCAACCGGTGCGACGTCGGCTGCTTTTGCGAGGAGGGGCTGTATAGAGACGCCGAGGGGTTCTGTGTTCCGCCGCATGCGTGCGAAGAATTAACCACAACTCCGTGTCCACTCCCACCCGCACCCAAATGCCCGGCCGGTGAGGTGTTCCGGGAGTGCGCGAGTCGTTGCGCCGAATACTGTCATAACGCGAACGACCCGTCCTTCTGTCCGCCCAAAGTGTGCGAAACGGGCTGTTTCTGCGAGAGGGGCACCTATAGAAACGATAGGGGGGTCTGTGTTCCCAAACACGAGTGCGATATACTGATGCTCACACCGAAGCCCATGTTAGTGTGCGCTACGAATGAGAAGTTTTCGAGTTGTGGGACCCGGTGTCAGGAGTATTGTGAGGGCCAGCGACCCGACAACGAGCAGTGCACCGGTAGTGCCTCGTGTGAGTTCGGGTGCTTCTGCGCCCTCGGATTCAAGAGGACTAAGTCGGATGAATGCGTTCCCGACGGTGAGTGCAATGGGGGCCCTCCCAGGGATAAGGATCAGGAGGAAAATGAAGCCGTTGACAAAAGTCGTGTCCCAACTGATGAGGACATGGAGGAGAGCGCCAGTATTGATCGGTCCAGGAAGAAATCACTTAATTATGTGGACAAAAAGTCTTGTGGTTTGCATGAAGAGTACAAAGAGTGTGGACACGAATGCGGAAAAACATGTGTTGACTACCAGACGAGGGTTCAGTGCGGGCATCAGGGCTGCAAAGAGGGCTGTTTCTGTGTTAGCGGTAAATATAGTTTTGTTAATTAATATAATTTGGATTATTTAAGAAGACATTGAGAATTTGAGAAGAAATTTAAGAGATTCTCGCAATCGCTTTAAACAATATTAGAAAGATACGATAAATAATACAGTATGAGTATTGTATTTTAAAAATTGATAATTTTTTGGTTTAAAAAGAAATGAAATACACAGAATTGTAATATTATTAGGTCTCTACAAATAATACTTATTTATGTTTCATTCTAATTGATAGGCTATTTACGCGATCATAAAGACTGTGTTTTACCAAAGGATTGTAAAGTCAGCAATTCTAGACCCGAGCCCTTCACACACTCTCAAAACCTTAACTATGATTTAATAAACAATCGCATAATTCTTAATTAATGAACACACGACTCACTTTAGATTTTAAAATAAATTTTATAATTCATAATTCATATGTAGTCATAAAATATTTATTACTATCATTTATAATAAAATAGCACTATTTGTTTATTTGCCTACTTTTACTTATCTTATATTCATGAAAATAGTGGCTAAACATACTTGTTATTTGAATTGCTGTCAATATTAAGGTTACCTGAGAGATGAGGACGAGAGGTGTGTATTGCCACGTCGATGCAGAGCTCCGGTACGTACTGAGCGATCCAACAGTCCTTTCTATTGCACGCCAAAGGGTTTTCTTTACCCGCATAGGACTCCAGACACCGGTTTCCACACTCGACATAGTGTTCGGTTGGTGGACAGGGAGGGGGTAGGAGTACACATCTACCGGTGTCTTTGTGACGATAGAGACCAGGCTCACAGAAACAGCCGGAATCGCATCGGCTCTCATCACACTCTATCGGATTCAGTAGTTTATTAAACATGGATTCCATGCATCTGTTCCCACATTCACTGAACAGTTCATTGGAGGGACAGGGAGGGGGAGGTTCTATACACTTGCCGTTAATGTCTCGGAACAGATTAGGGACACAGAAGCAGCCGATGTCACACCGGTTGGGGTCACACCTCTGCTCTCTGGGCTTCAACGCGTTTCGTATGGATTCCATACACCTATTGCCACATTTGGTGAACTTTTGGAGGGGTGGGCACAGAGGAGGCGGACGGACGCACCTATTTTTGGCGTCCCGTTTGAAGCCCTCTTCACAAAAACAGCCGCTTTCGCACTCATTCTCATCACAAACCATAGGATTGTCTGTATTTTGTATGGATTCCAGACACCGATTGCCACAATCCGTATACCACTCGCCCGGAGGACAAGGAGGGGGTGTCACCGGACATGCGGTTGTAGTTGTCGTGTATTTTGTTTTGGGCGGCGGAACGATGCAAAGCCCACCCCTATCTCGATGTAGATCGTCCATACAAAAGCACCCGACGTCACACCAGTTGAAGTCACAAACGCTCTGATCGTCGATATTATCCAACGATTCAAGACATCTATTGCCACAATCGCTGTACTCTTCATTGTGTGGACATTGAGGTCGTGCCGTAACCGCACAACTCTCGGTCTTCGGAATCACCGGTAAAAT